CACACACACGCACACACACACACCCACACACACACACGCGCATACACACGCACGCACACACGCATGGCGCACACACACGCACACACACTCGCACATGTGTATATATATATATATATATATATATATATATATATATAAATTATCCGTGCCACGCGTGCTGCCACAAGCTTCCAGACACCCGCGGGGAGCACCACTGGAGCTACCTTCGAGGCACCAACGGAGAGCACCACTGGAATTACCTTCTACGCTATGTATAGATGCGTCTCGTGTGGTAGACGGGCAATCGGTGCAGAAGTATTGGCCTACGTGCGTATACATATATATATATATGTGTTGGTTCACATCACCACTCGACCACACTCGCACCACACACACACACCCACACACACACGCACGCACTTCACCACTCGACCACTCCGACCACACTCGCACCGTTCACCACCACCATTCGACCACACACACACACACACACACACACGCAGACGCACACACACGCACACACATATACACACACACACTCGCACCTATCGGGCGAGGCGGCCATCGCTCGCTTCGCACGCACCTAGCAACCTAAGCCCGAGAGGCCCAACCAGGAGGTCCCCTCGAGAGGCCCACAGTGTCTCCGCGAGGCCCAACCCAGCCTCTTCGTATCAGTACGAATCACGGCTGGCGGCACTCAAGGAGAGAGTGCGCCAGCGGGAGCTGGCTCGGGCACAGGAGGGCCCAGCAGGTGGCGCAAGCGGTAATGGGCTAGGCTGAGCCCGAGCGCCGCCCTGCTGGGCCGAGTCGTTAGTCACGTGACTGGTCCGCCTCGGCGTGCTTCGTCTTCTTCTCCTCCTCCTCACCATCATCATCATCATCATCATCCTCATCATCATCATCAGCATCATCATCATCAGCATAATCAGCATCATCATCATCATCATCTCATCATCATCATCATCATCAATCATCATCATCATCATCATCATCGTCATCTTCATCACATCATCATCATCATCATCATCATCATCATCAAATCATCAGCATCATCATCATCTTCCTCCTTCCTCACCACCATCAGCATCATCATCATCATCAGCATCATCATCCTCATCATCATCATCATCATCATCATCATCATCATCATCATCATCATCATCATCATCATCATCATCATCATCCATCATCATCATCATCAGCATCAACATCATCATCATCATCATCATCATCAGCATCAGCATCAGCATCATCATCCACCCCCTCCTCCTCCTCCTCCTCCTCCTCCTCCTCCTCCTCCTCCTCATTCTCCTCCACCCCCCTCCCCTCGTCATCCCCCCGCCCTACTCCCCCTCGCCCTTGTTTTCGACGACGTCGACGACGACGACGACGAAGCAAGCGGCGAGCCTGCGCTGCGACGATGACGACGACGCCGACGCCGACGACGACGAAGCAGGCGGCTCCACTGAGCCTGCACTGCGACGACGACGACGACGACGACGACGACGACGCCGAGCCCACTGCGTCGGCCAGTCGGGCTCAGACGAATCGACGCCCTCAGACGCGCGGCGCGCGTCCGAGGGCGAGTTGGGCGCGCGATGACGACGAACGAGGACGAACGAGGACGACGAGGAGGAGGAGGAGGAGGAGGAGGAGGAGGAGGAGGAGGACGACGACGACGACGACGACGACGACGACTCTGTGCTCCCGCCCGCCTGGCCGCCTCGGACCGCCTAGGACTCCCAGCCGCGAGGAGGATTTGAAAAGGAGGAGCAGGAGGGAGAGGATTAGGAGGAGCAGGAGGAGGAAGAGGAGGAGGAGGATGAAGAGGAGGAGGAGGAGGAGGAGGAGGAGGGGGACGTCGCGGGAATCTGGACAACGTTCACGCCCCGCCAAAAACGAAGGAGAAGGAGGAGGAGGGGGAGGAGGAGGAGGAGGAGGAAGAGCAGGAGGAGGAGGAGGGGGATTCAAAAGGGGACCCATTTCAACATCTCATTGTCTGGATGATGTCTCGAGCGAGAGCCTCAGGGGTAGCACGAGTCGCCTTGGAACCAATTCTGTCGACATCCATTTTGTTCGGTGTGTCTCAAGCGGAACGCCCATCTGGGGAGGAACGTGGCAGAACAGCAACCACGGGTCCGCACTGGCGGTTCCTTGGAAGCTGTCTCACCCTCCTCTGCCTCCCCTCCTTCCTCTCCTCCTCCTCCCTCCTCCTCCTCCTCCTTCTCCCCCTCCTCCCTCCTCTCTCCTCCCTCCTCCTCCCCTCGCCTCCTCCTCCCTCCTCCGCCTCCCTCCCCCCCTCCTTTTCCTCTCCTCCTCCTCCTCCTCCTCCTCCTCCTCCTCCTCCTCCCGCGGGTCGTTCGAAACGGGTCATATGTAAATTATGAAAAAGTTGAAAAAAGTGATGAAAAGTTATGAAAAGTTATGAAAAGTTATGAAAAGTTATGAAAAGTTATGAAAAAGTTATGAAAAGTTATGAAAAGTTATGAAAAGTTAGCTGTCTAGTTGTGCGATTATAACAACTTACAACAAAGTTATATATGATGTTGCTAAATCACTCCGCAACTTAGTTATAAGTACGTGTAATCCGATTTATACATTGCCTAACACGAGATTCCGCGAAGTGGGGGGCGGAGGAGGCGGGGCGGGGTCGGGTCGGGGGGGGAAAAAGGGGAAAGAGGCAAAGAGGAAGGGAAGGCCCCCGATGATTGGAGGTCCCTGGAAGAAGCCCCCGCCATGGGTTGGATCCTTCCGAATTCCGCGGGGGGGGGATCCTCCAACGCCTCCTCCTCCTCCCTTTCCTCCTCCTCCTCCTCCTCCTCCTCCTCCTCCACCGCCTCCCCCTCCCCCTCGTTATCCTAATCCTCCCTGTCTTTTTGTTATTGTTGTTTGTTTGTTTCCTTCTCTCTCTCTCTCTTTTCTTGTTGTTTCTTTCTCTCTCTCTCTCTCTCTCTTTCTCTCTCCCCTCCCTCCTCCGACTCTACGAGCTCGTTGGAACCCGAGCGGGCCATCAGATCCACTGGGGCGCAGAGGAATCCGAGCGAACTCTTTTGGGTTCTTCAGAGGGCCACTCGCTTGACCCATCAGAGGAGGAAGAGTGCTGCATCTCTACGTCATGCTCTCCCGCGCCACTTGCGTGCGGAACATGTTGATTCTGCAGCCGCCCCCGCGGAAGTTCCTGGAGATCGGGCCGCCGGCGTCCCTGCGGAAGGCGCTCAAGGAGTTCGGAAGGAAAGCGGAGAGTTCCAGGGCAGAGGCGGAGCAATTCGCCGCAGAGCTGGGTTTCGTGTTGCCTCCCGCCTGAGCGCGGCCGCGACTAGCCCTAGGCCTGCGGGGTTGTCCCAACGGCTTGCTCCCGCGCCCCAGCAGCTCGCGGGGTTGTCCCAACGGCCTGGCCCGCGGGATTGCCCCAACGGCTGCGCGATGTGGCCATTCGATGATGCGCCCGCGCTGGCCGAGGCGGCGGCGGCACCGAGGAAAATCGGCACGCGCGCTCTTGCAATAGAGAGGGGAGGAAGTGGCGGGGTGAAAACAAAGACAGGAGGGCGAGAAGGGGGCAACGTGGGGAGCGGGAAGAGGGCCTGCGCCAGGGCGACACCAAAATGATGCAGATGAGACGGTAAGGACGCATCACCAATCACGAGGACGACGAATGAGGGGCATTTCCAGACTAGCCGAGAGGATTCTCATGTGGGGTCCTACCGTCGGAAGAATTTTGTTGACCGGTCTGGGCCCCAGTAAAGGCCTCAGGAGGCTTGGTTTAAGACGAACGCAGAATCGTGACAAAGCCGGATCTGAGAAGAATCGGCGGGTTTGGAAGATGTATCGGGCGCCGCGGCCGTTCCAGAGCTTCCCGGAACGCTCTCAGAGCGTTCCGCACGCTCTGAGGGCGTTCCGGGACGCTCTGGCACGGATGTACTCCGACTCTGCAGGCCCGTCCGACGGTTTTTCCAGGACGCGAGCATTCTTCTTTGGAAGAAATGCGAGGGGCATGGAGGAGAGGACGACCGCAACATCTCTCGAGTAACCCGTGCCCGCCGAGAAGCCAAGCCAAGCCAAGTATCTCTGTGATGCGTGGAGAAAAGACAGGTCTGTAAACAAAAATGCCGTGGCGGCTTGAAGTGCGTGCTTCCGGCGGGAGGAGGAGAGGGGAGGAGGACGAGGACGAGGGAGGCAGGGACCACGAGGAGGGAAGGCACATCTGGGAAACTGACCCTGCTGTGCCCGGAGCTCCGGAACCAGTACGCCGCCAGGCCCGGGCCGCCGATGCCGCGCGCCCGCAGCGCGCGGCAGGCCGCGGCGCAGCGCGCCCAGTCCGCCGGCCCGCAGGCGCGCAGCACCAGGGGCAGCAGCTGCTCGTCCTCGTCCAGGCGCTTCCTGTGGACGAGCGAGCGGTGCACACCCGTTCCCGTAGGGAGGTCGGACGGAGGAGGGCTGATCATGGGTATGGGCGCGGGTTGCCGGACCCCGTGGGAGGCTCCCTTTCGAGCGGGGACCCCCATCCGACAACACGCACCCACGGCTCTCTCCGTCCCCCCAGTGGGTGATGGCTGTGTGTGTGTTGTTCGTGCGTCAACCTGTCGGCCGCACGCAGGAGTGATCCTAGGCATGATCGGGTGGGGGGGGGCGAAAAGGTAGGATAGCAAAGAATATAGGGTGGGGCATCGGCTCACGTGGCTGGATTCCTCGGCGCCTCTTGACGCCGGGAGACGCCCGCGCATCGAGGAATGGGCCCGCCAGCGGGGCCGAAAGCAGCTGCATGCAGCAGATGTCGTCGTTCCCCCCCCCTTCCACCTTCCTACCCTCTCGTCTGGTCCGACAAGAGTGACCTTTGGTGCGCGGCTTCATGGGACCGCAGAGTGGCCAAATCTGAGCGCGCGGGCCAGTGTTGGGGCGACCCCATCTGGGCCCACACCAGGTCACTCCAGCGAAGGGTCACTCTTACTCGTAACCGATCCCATTGTGCAGCGAGATCTTCGGTGGCAGCTCCAAGGAAGCATGCCATGCCAGCTTGCTGGCTCTTGCGGATCGACGCTGACCGACGCTAATCGACGCTAAATCGAGGCTAGTCGACGCTAAATCGGCGCTTTCCCCTCGATAACCAGACGCTGACGGACACTCGAAAGACGGAACTACGAGGGTATACAAGGCTTCCATGATTTGTTACCGAACGATGGGACATGTTGAGCCGCTTTCGGCCTCTAGGGGCCCTCGCTGGGCCTCGAGGCTGGCAAAAAACGACTCGGGATGCAAAACCGGCCTTGGGAGAAGCGACGGGACTTCCGGAACCCGCGTGTTTAAAAACATCAGGGCATGACATATCTGGGCACTGGCGCGGGCCTGGCCCTGTGCGCAGGCGCGGTGTACCTACTGGCGCATGCCTGGCCACACCGCCAGGAGGGCGTGCACACACCGCTCCTGGACCCAGGGCAGCTTGGGACGGTGGCTCTGTATGGATCCCGTTGCCCGGAGGTCCTGCTCGCCCGGCGGTACGAGCGGGCGACCACCGAGGAACAGAAACCGGCACTAGCATGAACTTCCGGAGGCCCTCGTGAAATCTTTGGCGGCTCGGCGCCGCCCCCCCCCCCCCCTGCGGCGCCGCTCCCTGGCGCGCCCCGTGCGCCAGGGAGGGGAAGGGGGGGGGGAAGGCCCCGCGCCCATCCGAGAAATCCGAGTGGACCTCCGAAAGCGTGTGACCGAGGGCTCCTAACTTCGCGCTTCGCGAAGTCAGGAGCCCACGCACTACGCGCTCTCGCGCTCTCGCGCCGCCCTCCATGGGAGAAGAGGACGAGGAGGAGTTGGGTAGAACCGCGAGGCGCGAAGAACTTCGCGCCCTCGAGGGCGCCCTCGATGCCCAGGTGTGCCAGCTTCTGCTCCTCGAGGCTCAGGTGCTGGGCCTCCAGATGAGCGACGGCACGCGCCCCGAGAGCCCTCAGCTCGGAGGGCCCGCGCTGAGGCCCCTTTCTCGGCGACCAGGGGAGGCCGGGGCTCGGCCTGCTGGCGCCGAGGGGGGCCCTCGGCTCAGGCAGCCCTGGCCTCACTGGCCGCCCTGGTGACGCCCATAGAGAGCGAGCTAAACGACGGCACAGGCATTAACAGCTCCGAGGCCTGCGCGGACTCCTTGGATCGGCGCTGGACCCCCCCTCCCTGCGCGCCAGGGACGGCGACGGGGGCGCCGCCAGGGGGATCCAGCGCCGATCCAAGACATCCGCGCGGACGTCCGAGTCGTTTATGTTTATGTCATCCTTTAGTTCTCTAGCGCTCAGGGGTCAAACCCTGGACGTCGTGATATTTTCACGTGGGCCCTGGACCAGTTTTTCATCCCGAATCGTTTTTCGAAAGTCCCACCTCCCTGCAAGGGGAGGCGAAAGATAAATACAGCCATCTGTCTTGATTTGTTCCAGACTCGAGAGGGTCTGGGGGGCCAGATCGCTGAACTGTGGGATGTCAGGGTGCGCAGATGGCGCCCGCGAAGACGTGCGCGTAGAGCACGCGGCGGAGCTCCCTGCTCAGGGCCGCCGACCGCGCGACGGATTCGGCCTGGAGCTGCAGGGCCCGCCGCCTGGCCGCGGCCTCGGAGCACTCAGCGCTCTGCCTGGCCAGCGCGCCCAGCTCCTGTTAATGAACGGCGAACATACCATACCTGTATCTGCGCCCATCTCCTCCTCCTCCTCTTCCTCCTCCTCCTCTCCCCTCCTCCTCTTCCTCCTCCTCCTCCTCCTCTTCCTCCTCCTCCTCTCGTCACCTCCCCTCCTCTCCTCCTCTTCCCCTCTCCTCTTCCTCCTCCTCCTCCTCCTCCTCTTCCTCCTCCTCCTCCACCTCCTCCTCTTCTTCCGCGTCCACCTCCTCTTCTAACGAGCGGCGAACATATCCGTATCTGCGCCCTCGCGATCTGGATGCGGATGCGCGGTCGCGCGGATATGTTCTCCGCGGGGCGTCCGCGACAAAAACGCCATGGATCCGCGGGGCCGCGGCCCAGGGGCCCCGCCCGAGAGGCCGCGGATGCAGATATGTTTTTCCCCCACGACCTGTGGGAGGTCTGTGGAGGGGGGGCTTGGCTAGGAAACCACATCCAGGAGGTGCCAAGCCCAGCTCAGGTGCAATTGAGCTAGACTGATCAACATTGAAGCTGATACCGAGCCCGGTTAAGCTGGATTGAGCGAAACTGCGCGAAATTACGCAGGTTTGGCCGTATTGCGGCCGCGGATCTACAGACCACGGACATGCCAGCGCCGATGCCGAATTAAACATACCAGGAGTTGCATCCTAAGTATGGCGACCCCCATCGCCGACGTTGTTGGGCTTTCGCCTGGCCAAAAGCACGTTGGGCCCCAACTCAAGGATGAATCTACCTATGGGGCCACCCTTTGGGTGATGCTGGTGGAGAGGTGCAGCTTTAGGTTTGCGACTGGCGCCGGACCCGATTCGCAAACTATCAATCTATCGATCTTGACATCCGCATATATCGGTACCCGCTATCTGTCGTTCGATATCACTACCAATATGTGTGTCGACCCCTTCAACTCTTTATATGTACCGACCTGATGAAATATTTGTCTCTGTGCGCATAGCAAATAAGTATTCCTATCTCTGTGCCACTGTGTATCTATAGGCGGGACAACCAAAATAATCGAGGGAAAACCAGGGCCAACTCGGGTCAGAAGTCGGACCTTCGGAGCAATCAGTGTCTGACTTTCGGACCATGACTCGGGCCTATGGCGGCCGCGGGAAAGATCCCGACACCCCTGGAGCGCTCTCGGCGAGGAAAAGCTGCTGGAAAGCACCCGACGCAAAAAAAAACTCCAAGGACCAACGAACACTTCGTCAAGTAACCAACGAGCACGTCCTGCTCCTCGTCGCCCCCGATTTGGTTGCGGCCCCGGTTGCTGCCGAGGCTCCTGCGCGAGCGCGTCCCGCATCTTGGGCTCCTCATGGCGGCGCGCACCAGCGGGTGGGTGTTGGTGCAAGGGTGGGGGGCTTCTCAGAAGGTTTGGAGACTTCTTGGAAGCGCCTGGCGGCCTCTGAGAAGCCTTCTGCTGAGAAGCAGGGAGGACTTTCCAAAAGCCTCGTGACTTCTAAGAAGCCCTCCGCCTTCTCAGAAGGCCGACCCCCTAGCGCCCCCCCCTCGCATTACGCCCCATCGGCTACATGCAAGGGTGGCACCGGGTAGTGTCAGGTCGGGAATGTCCCCCTACATGCAGACCATGAGCGAAAACCAAAAAAAGTCGAACAATCATCCAATATTGTCAAAACATAATCGAAAACTAGTCCCAGACTTTATTCTTTTTTTCTATGTTTGAACTTTTCTCCTGTAGAGGGACACGCCCGATGTCATCCCCATCGGCTACATGCAAGAGTGGCACCGGGCTGTGGTGACCTTTGGTGCGCGGCGTTCGGGCGCCGCGGGGCAACTCCGAGCGGGCAACTCCGAGCGGGCAAGCCGAAGCTGTAAGGGACCCCCTGTGGGCCCCCGCACCAGGGGCCACCCCGGCGAAGGGCCACTCTTACGTGGGGTAGACCCCGGTGCGAGCCGCAAGTCCTCGACCATCGCCCTGGCCAGCACGTGCGTCACGAGAAGCCGGCTCGCCCCCGCGGCAAAGGAGGGGCTGGCCGGCTCCGCCAGCGACATCGCCCCGCCGCCGCCGGGCCGCGCGCCACCCCGAGAGGCGAGGGCAACGAGGTGGGGATCTGCTCATCCCTGACCACCCCCGATGGGGATCGATCCCGGGAACCTCGCAGGCGGTGGACATGGCTATACCCGGCCCAGATAAATCCCCGCCTCGCGAGGGAGCGGGCCCTGACATCCAAAGTCGTGCGGCGACGACGGACGACGACGGCGGAAGGACAACGACGGCGGCGGCCCGTCCGCCGCCGCGGGCCGCGGCGACCCCCACCGTCTCGAGGTGTGCGGGGGTCTGGCGCGCCTCTGGACAAGCCCAGGGGTGCCCTTTCGACACCCGGGCACCCTGACCCGGGACAACACCACGACGAAAAATGTGTGATCACTTTCGGCCTCCACGGGTCCTCGCTGGGCCCTGGGGCTGTCAAAGACAGCTCAGGATGAGAGATTGGTCCCTGGGATGCGGTCCGGACATCTGCGTAGCCACGCTGTGAACAAAAACTCTACTCTGGAAGACAGGAGGGAACGAGGATGAGGAGGAGGAGGGGGAGGAGGATGCGCCACTCAGCCGAGTAGGAGGAGGAGGAGGAGGAGGAGGAGGAGGAGGAGGAGGAGGAGGAGGAGGAGGAGGAGATGGAGATGGAGATGGAGGTGGAGGTGGAGATGGAGATGGAGGAGGAGGAGGAGGAGGAGGAGGAGGAGGGCCAAGGTCGAGGATCGGGGTTCGCGGATCGAGATTTTTCGGTGCTCTTTGGCCTCCCTGAGCCTTTGGAAGTCTTCTCGCCGCCGCGGCTGGACAGGCCGGGGGCTCAATCCTTGACTCCCGATGCCGAAACCTCTGGCGGCTTGGGGAAATCGGGGCGGTACGCCGTTCGCCATGCTGGGCCTCGATGCAGGCTGGCCGCGGGCCATGGGGTCGTCAGGAGGTAGAGAGGCCTGGTACCGGGGAGGTGGTCGCGATGTCCTGGGGCACACGTTGGCGGGAGACATCTCGGGTGGAGGAGGATAGGGAGGAGGAGGGGAAGGAGGGGAAGGAGGAGGAGGAGGAGGCACGACCACATCGAGAAAAGTGCGCAGAGCAGCGGAAAGGCAAAGGGGACGAGCAGGAAAAGGACGAGCACGCGCAACACTACGATTACATAGAAAGAAAAGGAACCTGAGCGAGCGAAAGCGGGCTCAAGCTACCTCAGACGAAGCCAGAAACAGGCATCGTCTAAGGGCAAGAGGGGACGGGGTCACCCCTCCACTCTCCCGAGATGGGGTCCTTACCCACCTCGAGGGACTTTAAATAGGTTGAGTCTTTACGGGATGCAATACCCTCACACCGGCCCCAGAGACGCGAGCGGGGGGCCGACGGCTGGGCCCTGGCCCCACACCGATGGCGGAATGCAAGGGTAGCTCCAGCAAGACTGATCTGGTGTCCCCGAGCGCTACTGGGCCCTACAGGGCCCTGAGCGGGAAGGGGAACATAAGGGAGGACGGCCTCTTTCGCAGTCCAGGAGTCGGCGCGGAAGGAGGAGGAGGAGGAGGAAGAAGAAGACTAGCAGCAGGAGCGGGATAGATGCAAGACACCTCGCAGAGTTGGGCCGAGCAAGACCCAGCCCACGACGGCCAGAGCCAAACTGCAGCGCGCGCGCGCTTGTCCGCTCTGCTGGCCGGTGCACCACTTGGCGAGGATGGCGCGGGGTGAACGTTCCCAAGGCGGAGCGAGAAGCCCCAGAAAAACGAAGAGTCACGATTACAAAGATGCTTGCCAGAACTGTTCCCGACTTAGTGCATTCTGGATGCGTGAGCTATGTAGCACAGTCTATGAGATGTCAGCTATGCGGTGCAAGCTGTGCAATGACAGCTATGCGGAGTAAGCCATGCAGTGCAAGCCACGTGGCATAAACTGTGTGGTGTAAGCTCCGTGGTCAAAACCAAACGATGCAAGATCTTGGGTGCAAGCTTCATGGTGCGAGCTATGTCGTGTAAACTATGCATGGTAGAGTACGTTGTGTAAACTACTGTGGTGAAATACGTGTGTTGTGAGCTATTGGTGTATGATATCTGGTGTGAGAGAACTGTGCGGTGTGAGCTATGCGGCGTAAGCTTGCGGTGCCCGCCAACGAGGAAGCCACGGGCGGGCAGCAGGAGAAGCCCCTCCTCCCACACACCCTGGGGAAATCAAAAGGCACCGATACCGCTACTCCCTGGACCTCTCCTGGGGTGCGTTCTCACCAGAATTTCGGGGCGAATTCAGCGGTGGCGACGAGGGCCTCCCAGGAGGCCCAAAGAGGAGAAAACGACGCAGGGGTGGCGGTCTGGGTACCCTTTCCCCCTCTGACACCCAGCGCACGTGGCGCCGACGTGGCACCCACGAGGCGCAAACCAATCAGGCACCAGGCGAAAAAACCCGGCCACACTCACCCAACGTACGGGGCGCCCACGGAGCGTCCACGGTCGGGCACCGAACTGGCACCACGGGGAAATCTCGCAGCATCCGCCCAACCACTTAGGTAACCCACGCAAGAATCCCAAAGTGCAAGCAGTGTGAGGGGCATTGGGGAAGGAGATGGAGAACGGGAACCAATACACATAAGAACAAACAAAATTAATACGAACGCCAGCCAACACATAATAATCATACAAACTAATAATACGAATACCAGTAACATAATAAGCATAGCTGTAGTAATAATAACAAGGATAGTAATAGCAATGGTACGAATAACAACAATGTTAACCATGGCCTCCGACGGCTAGATCTCTTTCGAACCGTCGGCCCCTGGAACTCCCACCCCCGGGAACCGCTTCTCGTCCCGAGCCGTCTTCCGACGGTCCTCGGGCCCAGAAGCGACCCCCGCCCCCTGAGGCCGCAAGTGAAGAAACCTGTCCGATCGCGATTTGTCGCAAGTCGCCCCGGCTCCTCCTCCTCCTTCTCCTGCTTCGCCTCCTCCTCCTCCTTCTCCTCCTAATCCTCCTCCTCCTCCTCTTCCCCCTCCCCCTCCTCCACCTCCTCCCCACCACGGGCCAAGGGCCTGCTGAGAATCGGTTCCCCCACGCCGTCACAGGCAACATCCCGACCAGCTCTCCGACCAGCCGCCGCTGGCAGGGGCGACGAAGAGGCCCTCAACAGCGGCAGTCCTTCTGGATATAAAGATGCAGCCCCATCTGGGCAAACAGGCAAATACGAGGAGAAGAAGGCTGTGGAGGAGGCCGAGGAGGAGGAGGAGGAGGAGGAGGAAGAGAGGAGAAGACGGACGAGAAGCAGGCGGAGAAGGAAAATGAGGGGGAGGAGGAGAAGGAGGAGGAGGAGGAGGAGGAGGAGAAAGAGGAGAAGGACGAGGAGAAGAGGAATGGTCGGAGCGGGGTATGAGGAAAGAGAAGGTAGACAGATCTGTCAAAGTATCTCTGGGAAATCGGGCATAGGAATGAATGATGATGAGAGCTGAGGAGGACGAGGACAGTTGTTCTCTGCGGACAAGTTCTGCGGGAAGTGCCAGCACGAGAATGGTGCTTCTCTGCGTCGTGTGCCTTTCTGGCGTCGCCCGACTTCTCAGGGCCTCTCCGCCTCCAGTATGCACACGCGGGGACCCAGCAGTTGCGTCCGCACCCCGCAGAAGCCCACCTCCTCCGCGGCGCCGCGCACCGTCTCCTCGTGGCCGGACGGGTGGCAAGATAGGGAAGGAACGTGGCGAGGAAAACAAGGAGGGGGGCGGGAGGAGTGGAGAAGCAGGGAGGGTTCTTGCGTGCTCAGGAGCGAGTGCGTAGCATGGACGAGGAGGAGGAGGAGAAGGAGGAGGGGGAGGAGGAGGAGAAGGACGAGGACGCCGACGAGAAGGATCAGAATAGGCGAGCAAACAATGACAGAAACATAGAAATTCGGAGGTCCGCGCGGACTCCTCGGATCGGCGCTGGGGCTCCCTGGCCGCCCCTGGCGGCCTCCGCGCACCAGGGAGGGGGGGTCCAGCGCCGATCCGAGAAATCTGTGCGGACCTCCGAGTTGATGTTTATGTCATTGTCAAGCCCTCAGGAAAGCAGGAGGGAGGAGGATGACGATCCCCCTCTTCCGCCCTCCCCCCCTACGTCCTACGTCCTACGCGTCAGAACAGCCGCCGTCGCTGCCGCCGTGGCCGCCGACGACAGCGACGGCGCGGACAGCTGAAGACGAAGACCCCCAAACTGAAGAGTCTCTCGGCGTGCTCCCCGCTTGCGTCGCCGCCTCCTCCTCCTCCGCCTCTTCCTCCTCCTCCTCCTCCTCCTCCTCCTCCTCCTCATCCTCCTCATTATTATTCTCCTCATGGACTTCCTTCTCTTCCTCCTGCTGGACATCCTCCTCCTCCTCCTCATTATTCTCCTCCTGGACTTCCTTCTCTTCCTCCTGCTGGACCTCCTCCTCCTCCTCCTCTTCTTCCTATTCCTCATCCTCCTCTTCCTATTTCTTCTCCTCCTCCTCCTCCTCCTCCTCCTCCTGCTCCTCCCGGCGGCGCGCACGAGGGAGCGGCGCGGTGAGGGGCGGCCCTCCCAGGAGCCGAGAGGTCCTCCGAGAAAAAGCGGGGCCCATCCTGGCCAGCCCCTCGAGCTGCGTCCGGCCGTGGGGATGTGGGACGAGGCCGGGACGAGGACGGCATCGGGCGAGGGAGACGTCGAGAATCTCTGAGATCCGGCGGCTCCGGAGAGGACGTCTCGGGCGCCGCGGCCTTCTCAGAGCGCTTCCAGAACGCTCTGGAACGGATTTATCCTCGCCCTAGCCCCGCCCGAGCCGTGGAGATGACAACCTCGAGCAGCGCACCAAAGGACTCCGAGCACGACGGCGGACCACCTCGACGACGATGACGACGACGACGATGACGACGACGATGACGACGACGATGACGTCGACGACGACGATGACGACGACGACGAAGACAGTGACGACGACCACGACGACAACGGCGGCGGCGGCCTCCAGATATCTTTGGAGGTCCCTGGAGGCCCCTGGAGACCCTGAAGGATAGAGATTGCCGAAGACCTCGACCCTCGACGAC